ATTATATTTAAAAAATGTATAGGGTCAACCTGTTAAGACCCATATTGATGTTTAAAAAATAAAATTTTCTTAAAAATTTTGATATTTACAAACATAGAAAAGGAAAATATAATTTGCATATTTGAAAAAAAAAAAATTGACCTGTGAAACCTGCCCGACCCACCCAAAATATTAATGTTTAAAAAATAAAATTTTCTTAAAAATTTTGATGTTTACAAAATAGAAAAGGAAAATGTAATTTGTATATTTGTTAAAAAAAAAAAAAAAAATTGACCCGTGAAACCCGACCGACCCGTCCAAAATATTGATTCTTAAAAAATAAAATTTTCTTAAAAATTTTGATGTTTACAAACATGGAAAAAGAAAATATAATTTGCATATTTGAAAAAAAAAAAAAAATGACCAGTGAAACCTGACCGACCTGCCCAAAATTTTGATGTTTCAAAAAATAAAATTTTCTTAAAAAAATTGATATTTACAAACATGGAAAAGGAAAACGTAATGTGTATATTTGTAAAAACAAAAAAAAAAAAAATGACTCGTGAAACCCGATCGACCAGCCCAAAATATTGATGTTTAAAAATAAAATTTTCTTAAAAATTTTGATATTTACAAACATGGAAAAAGAAAATGTAATTTGCATATTTGAAAGAGAGGAAAAAAAAAAAAAAAAAGACCAGTGAAACCCGACCGGCCCTCCCAAAATATGGGCTCGGACTGGACTAGGTTGGGCTAGCCCAACTTGCAACCCTTCGTGAAAGAGAGAAATGAGTTTAGTGTAATATAGAATAGATGTGTGTTGTGTGTCTATTATGTGATGGGTGAAATGTAGGTTGAATATGGGTAACCATATCCAACCCATCTTGACTCTCAAATTAAGTGGTTAAAAATTACCCAACCCATTTTTAACCCCACTTAAATATAGTTCACCTATAACCATTAAAAAGCGGGCGGATATGAGCGGGTTGATGGTTTCTGACCCATTTTGCCACCCTTACTAAGAACGAGAACCTTGGCAATCAGCTTATACATGCACCCCACTAAGCTTATTGGCCGAAAGTCCTTAATATGCAAAGCGCCACCCTTCTTAAGAATAAGGGCAATAAAAGATGCGTTTAATGATTTCTCGAATTTTCCATAAAAATGAAATTCCTGAAAGGTGCCCATCACCTCATTACGCACCACCTCCCAACTCTCCAGTAGAAACTGCATTGTAAACCCATCAGGCCCCGGAGCTTTATCACCATCACAACTCGATAACGCCTTCAATACTTCCTCTTCAGAAAATGGAATCTCGAGCCTATCTCTATCCATCCCAGAAACGGTATCAAAGTGGAGACCATCAAGCTTAAGTCTCCGTCCCAACGTCTCAGTGTACAAGTGCTGATAAAAAGAAGCAATCCCCCCTCGCACCTCATCCTCTCTCCACAACTCCGAACCATTCATCCGGATGCGCCCAATATGATTACACCTTGTATAAGCATTAGCAAGCCTGTGAGAATTTTGTATTGCGATCCCCTTCTTTAAGCCATAGAGCCCGAGATTTCTGATGCCACGAAAGTTCCTCCATAATAGCGATCTCAGCAAAAATTGCCTGACAAGAAGCTCTCCGTGAACGCAAAGAATCCACATCCTGCCCCAACTTTTCAAGACGATCAATCTCTGCTATATCAGCTAGAACTCTATTCTTTCTCCATTCGAGGTTCCCAAACACCTCCTTATTCCACCTCTTGAGCTCGTTTTTGAGACTCTGTAGCTTTCTAGCTAGAACAAAGCTAGAAGAACCTGTGCGTGTCGCCTCCCCCCACCAGCACTGAACGTTCATTCGGAAATCTTCTGACCTCAACCACATATTCTCGAAACGGAATGGGGTTCGCTGAGATCTCAAACCCACACAATCAAGAACTAAGGGAACATGATCAGATGTCACCCTTGCAACGGCTGCCTGAGTAACATCCGAAAATATTACTTCCCACTTCCCAGAAATCAGGAATCTATCCAGTCTTGAGAAAGTAACCGGATCCCTTCCATTAGACCAAGTAAAGGCAACCCCTTCCATTGGCAAATCAATAAGAAAATTACTATCAATAAATTCTGAGAACTGGGTCATTTCCGAAGACCACCTGCCCTTGTGGACCTCTCAAACGGAGACCTAACAGAACTGAAATCCCCGCCCAAACACATAGCCGGTTGGTTGCCATGTAATATAGATTTATGTATATATAAATTCAGTAATATATATAAAACATGTAATATCACACCATGAAACTTTAGGAGAGAGTGACTGAACAACACCTAAGACGAGAGATGGAAGTGTCGGAGGTTCAATTTGGATTCATGCCGGTTAGGTCAAATGATTGAGGTTATTTACTTATTGAGGAGACTAATGGAAAGATATAGATTAAAGAAGAGAGATCTCCATATGGTTTTTTATTGATTTAGAGAAAACCTATGATAGGGTACCTAGAGACCTAATATGGAGGGTACATTGACACAATAAAGAGCGTACGATGGTTGTGTGACTATAGTTAGAACGCCTATAGGGGAAATGAGTGAATTTCCAATTAGTGTAGACCATATATATTACATGGACTCTTAAGAAGTAGGCGAAGTACTGGTATCGGACACACATTACACGGACATGGGCATGGAATATGTGTCCGACACTATTGGTTAGACATGCACCTATAAAGTATATCATATAATTTTATTTTATTGTATTATTGTTTCAAATGAGTGAAACACATATATTAGACACTGTTATATAAAAACATTATTTTGGTCTACAAAAACAGAAAAAATATATTAAATAATATGAATATTTAGCAGTGTCCCTATTGTCCAATTGTTTTCAAATTTGATACATCTGACGCTTGAATACGTACCCACACCGGACACATATACCCGACTCCAAAAAACATAGACTGTAGGCCTACACCAAGGGTCAACATTAAGTCCATACCTTTTTGCCTTGGTTATTGATGAGCTGACAAGACACATCCAAGATGAATTCCGTGGCGCATGTTATTTTCTAATGATATTGTTTTACTCAATGAGGCTAGAAAAGGAGATAAAATGGAATATATGGGGTGTACCTTTAGTAAATCCAAAAACACAAATGAGGATGTAATGAGGATTAAGAAACAAGAGGTACAAAAAAAGTGAACATTTTCGTTATTTAGGCTCAATTATTCATAATGAGGGAGAAATTAGAGATGATGTTAATCATAAAATCAAGGCAGGATGAGTTAAATAGAGAAGTGCATCTAGTCTATTGTGTGATAGGTGTATCCCCTTACGATTGAAAGGGAAGTTCTATAGAACAGCTATTAGACCAACCATACTTTATGATACCGAATGTTGAGAATGCGAATGCGAATGTTGAGAATTTGAGATGGATACGCAGTAAGGCTAGAAAGGATATGATTAGAAATGATCACATTCTGTATTTATAAAATAAAAAATAAAAATAAAAATAAAAAGAAGGAAAAAAAATAAAATGATCTACCCTTTTTTTAATGGGTAAGAAAGAATTCTAGTTAACTTTTAGCCATGGATGTAATAAATGCATTAAGGTTAAGAAGCACAAACACTTCTATGACGGTGCCGTGTCCGTGTCCGACACTGACACTTCATGCCGTGCCCATTATTTAAAAATCAACACATCTCGAACACTTGGTCGACACATTCCAGACACTCAACCAACACATCTACACTCTTCGTGAACGTAGATCATAGTTTCCAACCTCTAAAGGAACAAAAATCTAACTATGATGACGAGATAGAATAGTAATATCATATATAATACAACATATTATTTTTGAAATTCTAATAGCGTCATTTTCTAACTTATGTAACTTTAGTATAGAAATTATAAATTAATTAAAGTTCTATAATTGTCTCATTCAATGGATATATACATGGAGATTTATATTTATATTATCTGTGTCCATGCCGTGTCTCATTCAATGTATATATACATGGAAATTTATATTTATACTATCCGTGTCCATGCCGTGTCTGTGTCTGTGTCCTACTTTTTTAGAATTTGACGTGTTGTCGTATCGTGTCCGTATCCGTGCTTCTTAGCATTAAGGTCTGTCATTGGATCTATATTGCCAAATCGGAGACAAAAGGAGAGAAATCTTTAATTTCAAGTAACATACACTAACTTGAAGTTACCCTTTGTAATTATTGCTAGCCATATAGCTTTGACAAAGATTAAAAATCATATTTTTTATGCTCTAATTATCTGAGGTGGTGGGTTGTTAGTATAAAAAAAAGGTATTATTTTTGGTATTCTAAGTGACCTAAGACTCTTGGAAGCTTCCTTACAATAGTTAATGTGCTTGGACCCACATACCAAATGGTGATGATAGAATACTGAGGTCCATAAGACAAAAAGCACAACAGTAAGCAATTTAAACTCTGAAGATCAAGAAGTATATGCTTTGTAAGCTATCCAAATTCCGAGGCACAACCCAAATGGCATTTCCTCGGGGAAAAAATCAACACATCAATATTTCAATATGAAAGCCCTTGTAATATAGGTTAAAGATGAGAACTTGATTGATTTCAAAAATCTTTTGAACAATAATAATAAAAATAAAAATAAATAAATAAAGAAGAAGGTTGTTCTCATATGCACTTTTATGTACCAATCAAAAAAGGGGGAAAATAAAAATAAAAAGAGTGCACTTGTATTAAGATGAAAATCGTATGAAAATTAAAAGCAAATACATCAACGTGGCTGCAACTACTGACAGTTGGGACAAATAAAAGGCTATGCTTGATTAAGGATGTCAATTTACTGAGGTTCTACAATTGTTAAGATTAACTTATTTCTTGTAATAATAAGTCACTAATTATTAGAGGCTCAAAGCAATTTTAGAGTTGATTGTGTTTGATGCAGCATACAGTTTTATTGTTGGTAAGGCCAGTCACTTAAAGCAATAACTATTATCTACTGAAATGAAAGAACAGTTGAATTAACACATTACCTCCAAAGTAGGTCCAATTTTAAAGACTCCCATAACCTGCTGCTTAGTCACCAGCGTAAGAAGCGGGATAAGTGCAAAAGGAATCTGTACAGATTGAAGCACATTAAGCCATTCATTTAGAACATCTAGCGAAGCTTCAGATCTGTTAAAAACAAGAGCTACAATAATAGTTGGCACAATAGCACAACTTCGTGTAATCAATGCCCTCAGCCATTTCTTCAAACGCAAATTAAGAAAACCCCCCATGATAAACTGTCCTGCATAAGTGCCAGTTATGGTGCTACTTTGCCCTGCTGCCAATAACCCAATACCCCAGATATAGAGAATTGGAAACATTCCTCCACCATATTTCTCTTCAAGATACTGCCCTGCATTTACTAGGCCAATACTGTCTGCTTGTTTCGTACCATAGAATCCCTTAGCAAATACAGTTGTAACAAACAAATTGATCATGAAGGAGACAAAAAGTGCAACTGAGGACTCAATTGAGTAGTAATTCAGTGCCTCTTGGACCTGACCTTTCTTGTGAGGATCAATTTCTCTTGACTGTACCAAAGCAGAATGCAGAAATACATTGTGAGGCATTATCACACAACCCACTACTCCCACTGCCTGTCGAATTGTTTTTGAGCTAAGTTTTGGAACCAAAAGACCTGTGAAGAAGATCAAATACAGTTTTACCAACAGCAGTGAGCTATCGAGATAACCTAAAACAAAGAAGGAACATCCAGAAAAAAATATAAATTTACAATTTACCTACTAGAAGCTCTCTTCCACTAGGCTTTGTATCAGCAAACATCCAGGCAAAAGCTAGACCCATAGTTGAAATGAGAACTGCAAAAACAGCTTCCAACTTCCTCACTCCGTAGTTCTCAAGAAATAAAAACATGAAACTGCTCAGCCAAACAAAAGAAACCAACTTCATTCTTTTTTTTCTTAGAAGGAAGGGAATGGACATAAACATCAAAATTCAATAAAAAATGGTCAAATTTTGAACTTTTGATAACTTCTTTCAATAAAATTTAGGGAAATGTGTACACTGATAATTTCAGATGAAGTCATTCATACTATAGACACACATACATATAGCGACATATTTAAGCTGCCTGAATTAAGCAAAATAGTTGAATTGCAATGACATGAAGCAAAGATTTCTTGTTTATTCAGGTCCTAAACAATTAATACACTCATAAAATTCATATCACCCTTTTCCTACCTTTTCTGATCAGTCAAAACAGTGGATGGAAATTCAAAAACATCAAAGAAGCATAAAACTTACCTATCAGCAGCTGTAATTAAAACACCAGCCCAAAGAGGCAGAAGCCCATGGCTAAGAATCTGGATGGCAATGGCACTCCCAATCACCTCCTGTATATCAGCCCCAATCAAGGCCACCTCTGCCATGAACCACAACAACAACCCGGCCCAATAGGGGTACTCCTCCCTACAGAGCTCGGCCAAGTGCCGGCCGGTCGCGACACCGACCCTGGCAGACAAGAGTTGGATCAGTAGGCCCATAGACGTGGCCCACAGCAGCAACCACAACAGGGAGTAGCCGGCAATCGCTCCGGCCTGCAGATCTCCTTCTAGGTTTCCTGGATCCAGAAATGCAATGCTCATCAAGAACCCTGGGCCCGTGAATAACCACAATTTCTTCCATGAGAAAGGTGGGACCGCCGAGTAATCGGCGGCGGAAGCTTCGGTGGAATCGAAATTGACGATCAGGACCTTCTCTCGCGATTCGTAAGCGACTTCTTCGTCGTCTTTTTCACCGCCTGGTGACGGCGATAGAGAGAAAGATTGAGATTGTGCCGATTGGGAAGACAATAGACGATCGGCTTCGTCGTCTTTGGCGTTGTCTGCGTTTGAATCGTCTTCTCGGAGAGGATCGCTCATTGTGTAATAGCACCGACGGGTTGAATCAACGTCGTCGGAGTATTGGTTCGCCGGCGAGAAACGTCGTCAGAGAGCGAGCGAGCGAGCGAGAGAGAGAGAGAGAGAGAGAGAGTTCGTCGGACGATGGTGGTCTCGTGTCGTGCTCGTGGCCTGTGTTCTATTTATAGATTTGTTAGTAATTGATATGCTGTGAAATTTGTAAACTGGTACGCTTTGGCCATACGTAACATGACACGTGGGTGTTCGTTGGGGGTGATTTTGTCATTTACAAGAAACTGAAAGCCATCGTTTTTTACTTTATGACGAGCATGGAAAAACAACTCTCTTTACATTGGACAGTTTAACAAAAATTGTATAGTGTGTTATTTAGGTCAAACTTTGAGGGAGAATTGTGCGACAGAATATGATTTGATTGGTCATGGTTGCAACATGCAAAGAATAAGAGTTTCAATTCATTATATTTTGTACGAGCAATGATATTTATTTAGCCGTCTGGTATAAAAGATTTTTATTTATTGGATGTCATGATATTTAAGCATGGATAAGCCATATAAAAGATTTTTATTTATTGGATGTCATCAAAATATATATAATATATATTATTATATATAAATAATTTTTTTTTTTTTTTTTCATTTTATCCATATAATCATGAATAAAATCACTAATTTGAAACTTAGAATTGGATATTTGTTATTTTTGTTTTCTTAAATTATATATTAATTTTCTAATTAATTCATAATATATTTTAAATTGTATTAATCCCATCATTCAAAAAATAAAAAATATTACAAAACCCTCCGTCATATCCTGAAAATGCCCAAAACCTATCCTTACCGTGTCCCAGCCGTATCCACCAAGAAAATAAAATTTTTTATTTTCAAGATACTTTTAGCCATATCATGAGTCCCCCCTCCCCCTCCCCCTCCCTCGCGCGGCGGCGAACATGATTCCTAACTTTTTTCCTTACATTCCATTTATTTCGTTGATCAGTAAAAAAGTTTTATAATATAAAGTTTAATAATATGAACAAGGATCATCTCAAGCCTTTGAGAGGGCCGAAGAGAATCCAGTGTTTGAGATTGAATTAAAAGATAGGACCCACCAAGATCTTGTGGTAAAGATTGAATCATTAGATAGGACATACTAATAATGGACAACTTTCATCAATTGATGATGTAATCTCCACCTTTGATGGAGTGCAAGATGTCTCTAGCGCCGGAGAGGATCCAAGTCCTAATGATATGAACAATAATCCTCTCCAGCAATGGAGAGAGCTGGAGAGAATCCTATGGTTGAGATTGAATTGATAGATGGAACCCACCAAGGTCTTGTGGTGAAGATTGAATCATTAGATGGGACTTACTAAGAATAGTCAACTCTTATCAAGTGATGATATAATCTCTACGTTTGATGAAGTGTAGAACCTATTTGGTGTTGAAGAGGATCCAAGTCCTAACAATATGAACAACGATCCTCTCTAGCCATAGAGAATCATGTGGCTGAGATTGAATTAATAGATGGGACCCACCAAGACGTTGAGGCGAAGATTGATTAATTAGATGTGACCTACTAATAATGGTCAATTCTCATCAAATGATGATATAATTTCCATTTTTGACGGAGTGCATGACCTTACTAGCGCGAGGATCCAAGTCTCAATAATATATATATATATATATTAATGTATTTAAAATGAGGTTTTTGCATCGGGCCTCAATTAGTATAGTGCCAACTTTACTTGGACTCCATTGATATACAAATGTTTGTATCTAACTGATGCCTCAAATTAGATATAAGAAAGAAAAATGAATTGGAAACTTTTATGTTGCATAATAAAATGTTGAACTATTAGCATGTAGTTCGTTAGGTAAACTTATTTAATTCATTGTAACACAAACGGGTAAATTAAGTCATTTAATATGATAAACCAAGAGGGGGTGGGGGTGAATTGGTTTATACATTTTTCTTCCTTGAGTATAAGTCACACACAATGATTTAAGACCTTGGTTCACAATGCTGATAACAATTGATGCACCATTACTTTTGAAACCCTAACTTCAGCTAGATGTTTGATGAAAATCCACAGTCACAATCCACCCTTTGACACCAGCTGTTTTTTTACAAGGAAAAACCCCTAGGTGGGGTTAAAAAACCTTAGAGTTATGGGTGTTCACCCTTCTTCCACTTTGAATGAATGAATCGCCCATGTCTTAAGGGTTCACCATTTCTGCACTACATCTAAATATGATGTTTGGCATAAAGTTGAGTCTATCACCGATGGTATCATTTACCACTTAACATATTATCCATGTAGCATACAAAGCATAATCATGAACCATTATCATCGTAGGCGTGGCCATATGATAATATGCAAAGTCCTATTATCCCCCTAAAAACATCTTCATCGATGTTAATTAGCAAACCATATGATGTAATTCCTTTGTGTTTCAAATGATAATATTCGAACTCATTTGGAATTAACGAAATACGATCATTCGTAGCAACGCAGCATTGTCATACCTAATCCAACCCCTTAAAAAGCCAAAATAATGGAAGAAGCTCAGAGGATCAAATTGTTTAGCCAATGAAAATGATTCGTTACTCAAATTGGAAACTCCGTAATCGCCTCTGTCTTATGGGTTCACCGTTTCCATGTTGCATTCAAATTGGATGTTTGGAATAAAGTTGATTATCACTGATGGTATCCCCACCACATAACCTTTTGATGTGGTATTATCCACGTATCATACAGGGTACAAGCATAAACCATCATCATCGTAGGCTCGGCCATACACCATAAGATACATCCCATACATAATATTCCTCTCTAGGATGAGATACCTGTTTGGTTGGCATTCGAAATCTCATTTTTGCGACCAAGGCGTCCATTGCAACATCCGAGAGATACGAAATTTTAGCACCGGATTCAATTATAAATCCGTTGTAATGTTATGATTGTACTCTCATTTTGAAAATATCTTCATCGATGTTAAGCAGCACGTCATAAAATATAATTCCTTTGTGTTTCAAAATGGTAATATTTAAACTCATTTGGAATTAACAACTTACAATTTTTTCGTAAAAATACAGTATTGCCAAACCTACCCACCCCCCTAAAAGGCAAAACAATAAAAGAACCTCAGAGTATCAAATTGTTTAGCTAATGAAAGTGATCCGTTACTTAATCTAACAAATCCCTAATCACCTATGTCTTGAGGGTTCATCGTTTTTGTGCTACATCCAAATACAATGTTTGGAATAAAGTTGAGTCGATCACTGTTGGAATCCTCCACCACATAGCTTTTTGATGTAGTATTATCTATTTAGTGTATACAGTATAAGCATGAACCATCTTCATTGCAGGTATGACCATCAACCATAAAACTTATCCCATCCACAATATTTCTCATTAGGATGAGATACCTCTTTGATTTGCATCTGAAATCTCATTTCCATGACAAGGGCGTCCATTGCAACATTCGGAAGATACGAAAGTCAAGCACCAGAATCAATTAATCCATTGTCATGCTCCGACTTTACTTTTATTTGAAAAACATCTTCATCGATGTTAAATAGCATGCCATAGGATCTAATTGCCTTGATTTCAAATGTCAATGTTCAAACTCATTTGGAATTCATAGTTTAAAATTTATTAATAGAAACGCAGCATTACCAAACCTACCCCTTCCCCCCCCCCCCCCCCCAAAAAAAAAGCCAAAACAATAGGAGAACCTCAAATGATCAAATTATTTATCTAATGAAAGTGATCCGTAACTTAATCCTATAACTCTGCAATCACGTATGTCTTAAGGATTCATCATTTCTGTACTACATCCAAATAAGATGTTTAGTATAGAGTTGAGTCTATCACTGATGGTATTCTCCACCACATAACTTTTTGATGTAGTATTATCTACGTAGTGTACAACGTATAAGCATTAACCATCATCATCGGCTCATCACAGGCGTGGCCATACACAATAAGACATATCCCATACGTAATATTCCTCATTAGGATGAGAGATCTCTTTATTTAGTATGCAAAATCTCATTTCTGCGACAAGTGCGTCGATTACAATATCCAGAAGATACGAAATCCAAGCACCAGAATCAATTATAAATCCACTGTCATGCTCCGATTATACTCTCATTTGAAAAAATCTTCATCAACGTTAAACAACACACTATAAGATGTAATTCCTTCGAGTTGGTAATGTTCAAACTCATTTGAAATTAACAGGATATGATATGCTTATAGAAACACAACATTGCCAAACCTAATCCGACACCCCCACCAAGCTATAACAGTAGAAAAACCTAGAAGGATCAAATTGTTTAGCTAATTAAAGTTATTTGTTACTTAAATTGAAAACTTCATAATCGCCTATGTCTAGAGGGTCCATTATTTCTATGCAAGATCCAAAAAGGATGTTTAGATTAGAGTTGAGTCTGTCACTTGTGGTATCCTTCACCACATTACCTTTGATGCAGTATTATCCATGTAGCTTACAGAATACAAGAATGAACCATCATCATCATAGCTATAGCCATATATTATTAGACGCAACCCTTACGCAATATTCCTTACAATGATGAGTTACCTCTTTGCTTGACATACAAAATCTCATATCCAAAACAAGGATGTCCATTGCAACATGCGGGAGATACGAAATTCCATCACCAAAATCAATTATAAATTCGCTGTCATACTCTGACTGTACTCTTATTTAAAAAACATCTTCATAGATGTTAAGTAGCACGTCATATGATATAATTCCCTTGAGTTTCAAATGATAATGTTTGAACTCATTTGGAATTAATAAAATATGATTTGGTCTTAGCAACGCAGCAGTGCTAAACCTAACCTAACCCCCCCCCCCCCCCCCCCCAACAAAAAAAATAAAAATAAAAATTCCAAAACAATAGAGAACCTTGGAGGATCATATTGTATAACCAATGATATTCGTTACTTGTGATACCTCCGGATTTCTGAATGTGGGTTGGCCAGGCCCACGCCAAAACGCCCGGGGATATCAAAAACAAATCGGCAATAAACGAACACATAGTTCAAAAGAATAAGTAGAAATACATAATTTGCTGAAAGAAAACTAAAAGAATAATCAAATAATAAAACCTCTTAATAAATT